ACTCACGTAGCGCACGCTATGTACAAATAACGTGTGTATGTGTGTATATATACATATATACTAAAACTTTTTAGGTATATTGATACTGTGTGACGTCATGCACTCATTACGCTGTCATCATCTTTTTGGCTGCCCCTATGGCACGTCTCGAGGACGCACTTGGCAGGTTAACAAGTCCCTGTCATCATCTGATCTCGTAGGGTTTCGGCGAACTCTAGTTTGTGCCAAGTTGCCAGCACATGTGTTGCACTCTTCATGGCTCTGGCGAAGGGGCTTTCCTGGCGCGAGCAGATCAAGACGAAGGGCTTCGGGCATGGGCGTGTCCGGATAGCCCCATAGCTGCAGTGCAGAACCCTAAACACTTTTGCAACTGGCCTGCTGCGACTCCGCCAGGACGAATACTTGACCACAATCCCCTAAACCGTAAACCGGGTCCTCGGAGGATTGCTGCGCCAGTCAACAAGCCAAGTACGAACTAGATTGAGTCCGGAGCCAAGTGTGGATTTCAGGGGCATCACTTACCGAGGCCACGGCATGGAAACTCTAATTAAAGCATATTGTGCCGAACAAGACGGCTGTGTAACATAGCCGTGTGAATGCAAGACTAGGTTTAGAGTCAGTTTAGAGTCGTATTCATCTTGCTAGAACTTTCTAATTACCGTCCTCCGGAGCAACGCTCAAGAGGTCTTCGATGTTCAAGTTCTGCGGGTTGGCCAGGAGACAGCAGTACCTAATCTTTGCAAGCAGGCTTCTCAGGGTCGAGTTGGTTGCGAGGCCCGTGCAATGAGCTCCTGAGCAGGAAGCAACGAACAAATGTCGCGACCCCAAGCATGCTGTTTCTGCATGTCGTTGCCAGGGTCACCATTAAGAAAGTCGTCAACCACCACCACCACCACCACCACCACCACCACCACCACCACCACCACCACCGCCATCCTAGTCTGGGCAGCACCATCATCACCGCCCTGTGTCGTCGTCACCCTTCAGACTGAAGAGCCCCGATGACACTCCCTCGACAATCTCACTGAAAGATGCTGCTATGTGGAATAATGCCTGAGCACCTGTTGTTTAAGAGCAGCCCCAATGTGTTGGCTCAGTCCCAGCCCACGTCCGAAAACACACCCCGAGTTTCCTGGGCCCTTGGTTCGTCGCTATGTCTGCTGGGTCACAGGTTCACGATGCCCTGCAAACGTGGCCAGCCGCGGTGTACCTGAAAGATCAAGGATTCCGGCAAAAGCCGCTCCTTGCACTGATGGCCACGGGAACATGAAGTCATCATGCAGACTATATAACGACATCGGAGCCAGTAAACAAAGTAGACCGATCGAGCTCTGTCAAGACTTTCGTGGCTCTTGTTCCTCTACTCGTTCCTGGTCCAGAAAAGCATGCGCAAAAAAACGCCAACCGCAGTTGCAGAGAGCTTCGAACCCTGAGAAGTCTCAGCCGACCTTGAACTCCCTCCTCCCTTCCCTCCCTCGCTTTTCTGGTGCATCAGAGGAGCTAAGTCGCCGAGCTCGAAGAGGCCTTCGGCCCACGCATGGGACAGAAACACCTGGAGCAGAGCAGAGTAGACTAAGTAGACGACTCATAATCGCATTAGCGCACCATCATTTGATGGGGGGAGGGCTTCTAACAGCTTTCTGTGTGTGTCTGTGTGTGTGTGTGTGTGTGTGTGTGTGTGTGTGTGTGTGTGTTGTTGTTGTGCGTGTTCAGGGGTGTGTGGGGTGTCTGCAGATATGTGTGTGTACATATGTATTTTTCCATACACATACACAGACACACACACACACACACACAGCATGCCTTATACATATATGATCGCACTCATGACATTGTCAAGCAGCTTCCTCCGTGATGGCAGGCCCTGTTATTCGTGTGTGCACTCGCTCAGTCATGCACTGATGTGTCATAGTCGGAATCCCCGAACTAAGTTGTCTTGCACATGCTCTGCCGGCTTACCTGGGGCCAGCTAGAATCTGCGACCTTCAATTCTTGTCAATCCAAAGTGTTCGGCCGAAGGCAGAAACCAGCTCAATTTCGGCTCTGGACTCAACTCGCTTCAGTAAGCTGGCCCGAAACCCCACAGCCCAAGTGACGCTGAAATCTAAATTGTATTCACCCAAAGTATGTGAACCAAAAAAACACGCACATGGCTGTCTATCTTCCCTTTTGAAGGTTGCTAGAGCTGAGGGCTTCCATCGTGGAATGGACACGTCAGTCGAACTGTGCAGTCTTGATGGTGCCAGCCCATCAGCGGTAACGAACAAAAAGAGCAAACAGGCCTGGCCTGGCAAGGAAGGCCAGCTGGATGCTTCATCAGCGCATAGGACATCCCGCCGGCCGCCCATGTCACCGGCTTGACGAAGTGCTGGTTGACCTTTGCTTGACGAAATAACATAGGGGACGTCACAATCAGAATAGGGTTTTGGGGGCCATTATACTGCAATCGTAATAAGGAACCCCCCCCAAAATACTACGAGAAATGATCAAAGGCCCCTGTAAATTAGCCTTTTCCGAACAGCAAGGGGAGATGACCTTGCGGCAATCTTGCATCTGCCCATAAATACACCCCAAAGCTGCAGCGACTGCTTCCAGAACATCTCTACTCATCGCTGAGACAAGCTCTCCAATCACTGTCGCACAGCTATTCCAAACGCGCTCTTCATGGCTCAAGCGCAGTTGGGAGGAAGGCTATGTCCACATGCTGTACGCATCAATCCCATGAAGACTCATCGGCAAGTAACACACAACTCCTGCTAAACTCTAAGCCCTGGAGCAGGCTGTTACGGTACACTGTTGTTGAAACGGGCTCTATCTCAGCAACAAATAGCGCAATAACAAGTTGAAGCTGTGTTTTGCTGTATCCCGATCCACGTGCTGACGATTGAATTCTGGGTAGCCACAGGGCGACTCACGCATCCTGGCTAAGCGCATTGCAGCGCATCCTCGAACCTTACCCCAAACATCAACCTTTGGCATACAACCTACTTGTCGGGTATCATGGGGAACGAAAGGTTAACCTTTTTGGGTATATAGGGATCATATAGGGACTTACTACCCAAAAAAGGTGAAAGGTTACCTACTCTACTACTAGGACAAGCTGCCTGGTAGAGGTTCGGCCCATGGTGCGGGTCGCTGTGAAAGGCATTTGGGACATCGCCGTCCGGAATTTTGTCCAGCTTCCAAAGCTCGCGAACTTCCTCACGCCAGGCTTTGCAGCACAGGTTTTGGATATGAAAACCCGATTTATGTGCCTTCTTTCGTAAAGAAACCATGCATCATCGGCGAGTGCCGCCACTCCCCGACACCCAAACCTTTGTGCCACACCTCGATGAAGGCATAGAACTCGCTGCGCGTGATGCACCACCGGTCGGGCGGCACCCGGAGCTGGAGGTCCATGTCGCTCTATACCGACTAGGGTGGGGTTTAGGGTCTAATTATTGGGGACAGCTTCGGATTTAGGGCCGCGCTCTCGAGACTGCCTGTAAGTGCCATCATGCGATCCCAGAAATGCCTCACTGCTAGGTATCATCAGCAATATAGATCACAGCCTGACTCGGACTGATCTGACGGAAGAGCCTTCGAGAAGGCATGCAAAAATATCATCAGCAATAACACACAGCTTTGACTCTGACACAGAAGCAACAAACAAACCAAATGCAAGTCCATCTTACATTCTGCTACAACACTAAGACTTGGACGACTAAGAGGCTTCGAGACCCGGCCCTAGGATCCTGGACCAAAGTCTGCGTCATGTAGGAGGTGCGGGTGGAATCATGCTTCAGTCTTCCAGACGCTGCCACGGTCTGCTTAGCTAGAAAGATCGGACTAATTTTTGGACTGCCCTAGTGTCAGCCTAGTGTTGCACAGAGGCCATGAGCAGTGAGCAGGCTTCGCAAGAACCCGCCCGACTTTCAAGAGCCGACCATGTCGATCCCCCTCTACCTCGAACCCATGTGCAGAGTGAAGCGAAAGAAGGCGCAGCTCCAACTTTATATCCCTTATTTAAAGCAATGGGCCCCGGCAGCCATGTCGAACACGTGCATGCCTTCACTACCTGGTGCTGCAACTGGAACACATTTATGCTCGGCTGCTAGTCGGCCGCTCAACAGCGGGGGTCAGGCTGGTGTTGATCTCTACATGAAAGCTCGCCAAAGGGTGCAAATCAAGGGTGGGCAATTAGATAGCACATGATGTCTCAAGGAAGAGGTGAGCTCCATGAGGATGCATGTTTAAGCTTCGGGAGGGCCATGGCCCACACACAGCAACTTGAATGGGATGTCGATGGTATCAAAATCCTCAGGTGTAAAGCCAACTGATGCCGCTCCCAGGCGGGCTAAACCTGAAGGATTGATTTGCAAACGATGTCCCCCGCCGGCCGGATGGCCGTAACACACCTTGATGGAAACGACTCGCTCCCGGATCGTAGTTAAAACTATGCAAGTTCAAGGGAGGAGTAGTATATGCACCAGGCCTAGCCGTGAGTGCAACATCAAGGGGGGGAAGAGCCCAGCGCATTCCCCCGTGAAGGGATGGGAAGTTCGCTTGAGGGCCAATATCGAGGAGGACTTACAGCGAAGTGGGAGGGGTCTAAAATGTTTGGCTCAAGCCGATGGCTGCATTTTAGAATACATGATGCATCTAATGTTTGCACTGCCCAAGCCACTAACCTACCACAATGCAATGCATTAGATAGCACATGATGTCTCAAGGAAGAGGTGAGCTCCATGAGGATGCATGTTTAAGCTTCGGGAGGGCCATGGCCCACACACAGCAACTTGAATGGGATGTCGATGGTATCAAAATCCTCAGGTGTAAAGCCAACTGATGCCGCTCCCAGGCGGGCTAAACCTGAAGGATTGATTTGCAAACGATGTCCCCCGCCATTGATCTGTCACTGACTTGCCATGGATCTCCGAAAAAACGCAACATGCAACTCACACAGCGTGAAGCACTGAACGAACTGCAACAACGATCTTGCAAGCACGCCTTTACTTGACTCAGTGGGATGTCCAAAAGCGCTCCCACTCCTTCATACTGAGCTCCACGTGGTTCTGGGGCCACGTGCGTGGGAAAACTTTCGAAACTAGTGTAATGCCTGCCTTAGCTGCTATGGGGCAGCAGACACCCACGCGAGAACCACCGTCTGCGATGTTGGATTTGCTGGGAACGTGTTCCCACCATGCTCGGACGCCTCTCCGCATGAGTCTCAAAACAGTCGCGTGAACGATGCATCCAAGGTCCAGGGAGCTAGATGAGCCCAGAACGAAGTTGCAGAGAACACCCATATTGTCAATGAAAACCGTGAGTAGGCAGTGCTGTAGTAGGTCAGGTTCGAAATATAGTGCCAGCATCGGGGCCAAGGCCTCAGCCTGTGCAATGAGTGTTTCTGAAGGCTGGAAGCGGGCCAGAACCTCCGGAGGCACGTCAATGACAGCACCCCTCCGTATATGCCTGTGCGCACAGGCCACAATGAAACAAATACGTGCTCGAGGCACACCCTGAGCATCAACATGAAAAGAAGCATCTGTGAACAGAGATACTTGCGGCAAGACCGATGGGTCCATGGGCACTTGTCGGTAGGGACATGTTTCCAGCATTTCCAAGAATAATTCCAGTTCCATGCGAATGCCGGACGACATCGCAACCATGTGGTCCGATGCTGCCCTCTCGTCCAGGTGCGGAGTCGGGACTCTGCCCGAGCGGCCTTGATATGTTTCGGATAAATGAAGAAGCTTGCCACGCAAGGACATGGCCGAAGATGCAGAGAGACGGCCTTGACATTGAATCTGAAGAATTTGTTTCCGAATTTGTTCCTCTCTGCCAGGTTTGGGTAGATGCCAAATTGAGTCCGACGCACCCAGATGAGAGTAGACCTCGCGTGCACCGAGAAAAATTGCATCAGCTGACGGCATTTGGTCCTTACTTGGGTCTCGCCTATATCCCAACCAGTCCAAAAGTTGCAAGAAAGACCTGGTGGCAGACCCATTGCTACACGCCACATCCACCACTTTAAAGTCGTCAAAGAAGCTGAAGAGTGGTATAGCCAGCCAACGGCGTGCGAGAGCAACGATGAAAGATGGCACCCTGTTGAAGCCCAGGACGGCTGCTGAAAGACCAAAGGCCAAACCATCACACTCCGCGAAAACCCATTGTCGACGTTCAGGGTGGTAGATGGCAACAATGGAGAAGCGAAGATGTTCTGGGATGACAGGAATTTGTCGGTACGCCTTTTCCAAATCATGGGTACTAAGACGCACTTCAAAGTCACCTGCCAACGGTTGCCCGTGCAAGGAGCGCAGCCTCCGGACGGCGGCAAACGTTGCTGATGCAGATGTTGTGTGAATGCGCTCGGTCGCCTGCATAGTGCGGTTAGTGCTGGATGCTTTGGCATCATCAATGAGGCGCCATTTTGAATGAGATTGTTGCCACACAGCGAAGCGTGGCATGGGGCGCCAACGGCCTGCACCATGTCTGGAATCCATCTCAGACGCCGTCCAATAGCCACGCAAAGTACCAGACTGGCGCTCCGCCTCAGACTTTTCCCATATGACTTGCACCTGATCTGGCGGCGGCGGTTTCGAAGCCAACACCGATTGCACAAATGCAGCGTGGGACTGTTCGAACTCTTGCAAAGGCACTGTTGGCTCCATGCACGCTGGTCGGTAGATGCGAGATTCAGGGATGTTGCCCACGATATGAGCTCCGCGCTGCGCCAACTCCAGCAGCTCAACATCCGGCCAACACAATGAAAATCTGGCCAAATCCAACCTGTCCAAATGTACGTGCGAGGCCACTCTAACGGATGTGCTGGATCGACCGAGGTCCAGCATGTCTGCCAGGCCGTGTGCACTCTCGACCGCTGCTTTGAGAATGTTAAGCTGGCGACGCCGCCAAGCTCGGGCACCCCGCCCAAGTTGCAAACACATGCGCAAAGCAAAATCGAGATCATCTGGGACGGGTGGCTCCATGCTGAGTGGAGACTCCATAACCTGCCCACATTCAAAGTGTAGCACAGGGTCCAATCCCAGCGGCAAGAGAGCACGCTGTCCGGATGCTGCCGTCTGGGCGCGCGATTGCAACAACAAAGCCAAGGATGCCGAACTGTGAGCATTTTGTTCGATGATGTCCGGGCCCATGGGGATGTCAGTGCGTAAGCCTCGACTGGAGACATCTTGGATGTAAGGGCACTGGCGGCGCAGCGCCCAGTACACTGCACCATGTTCCTGGAAATGCTTGTTGATAAGTCCGTCAACTTGGACTGGCAGGCTGCTTGTGATCGGACACCAGGCTTGCGCAAACGTGAACGGTTCCACACGAGACAGAAGCGCTTTTGCCAATGGTATCGGCAGCATGGGATACAAGAGGGCACTACGAGCAACTGCACAATGCTCAAGTGGACGATCCTGGTAGCTGATAAGCAAAGGCGCTGTATAATGGCCTGGTAGCCCGAGAAGCTTCTCCATTTCCAACGGGACCAACAACCTGCGAAACAAAGTGGCCGGGCTGCGCACGAATCGCAGTGGATGATCAAACAACAAGCAATGCTTGTGCAGGAAGTTTTCCGCTTCCCAACCAGGCAGGAGGGCCGTCTGCTCGGACGGAGTTGACGCAAGCAGTGGTATGCGGTTGGCTGTAGGAGGCAATGTCCACCAGCACAGTTTTGCCAAGTGGCCGACGCATGCGTCGGGAGGGAATACCTGCGCTGAGGATTGAAACTGCTCCCTGTACAGCGCGACACCCTCATCATCGGCAGCCTCACACGCTGTAATGGCGATGACAGGTCTATGCGTCGCAGCCGAAAACCACTGCAGCACCCTGCAAAACGTCTGCATTTGTTCCAGCCGCCTTGTGGGACCACTCCAGACAGCACTGCAAACCAAGACAAAGGCGTCCCCTGCATGCTTTTGGGCCAAATCGTCCACCATAGTTTTAGTGATCGAGCTACTGGGCCCCCAATCTTTTGCGGAAGGGTGATGCGCCGCGATGATGGATTTCGCGTCTTCACCGACATCCAGTACATAGGCGGATGGAGGTTTCCAGTGAAGCTCCTCTGATGCGATGAGGAAGGGCGCCAAGCCGTGGCAGAACTCCACCAATACCCAACTGGCTTTATCATGATCTGCACGCCTTCCCTAGCGAACGGCGGGTTTTCCATGCTTGACAGGGTCATGAGTCTCACGAGTGTGGTCCCGCCCCTCGCACACTTTGCCCGATGAAGCAAGGACAATGTCGCAGCAGTGTACCTCGCCCTTTGGGCACTTGACCTCGCATCCCCTGCGATCGTTGTTCTTTTTGCAGATCTTGTGACCAGAGGCTGTGTGGTTTGCAGTCTGCCACTTGGAGCGGGAGGCGACGGGCTCAACAGTTGGTGGCGGTGGCGATGGTGCGGGAACGAGTGTGGCTCCGCTCCTGCCGGCTCGGTGCAAAACATGATCGTGGTCCTTCCAAATTGAACTGTGCTCCTTAATAACATGCGCAAGGGCATGCCCCCATGGTTGCTGTTCGCTGCCACGGGCCAGCTCGATGGCCTTGGCCCGAAAGTCCTCCTCGACAGCACGGATGTACTCAAGAACCGAGTCCATGGTGTATTGCCCGCAGAGCTTCCATGCACGCTGAGCAAGTTGGAAGCAGTATTGCGACAGAAGGGGCCACGCAGCATACTTGACCATGCTTCCTTTGTACTCGACATCGAAGCAACCAGCCACTGCCCACGTAAAGCACAAGACCTCAAGCAATGAAAGGAACCCGTGCAAAACCTGGGCCACGGATGATTCTCCATCGTCGTGGCCTGTCGTCGAGATGTCGAGGGCGACTCCATCTGTAAGACGCTGTTTCTTAAAAGGAGGCGCCTTCTGTGCAGTTGCAAGGGAACGAACGCGAGCCACTGGGAACATGGAAGGTTGTTTCGCTTCAAACTCTCGGCGGAAGCGCCCAAACATGGAGTCGCTGCCGATGCGCTTGGAGTCAATCTCGCCCCATTTGTGGTATGAGATGAATGTGGCCACATAGGATTTCTGAACATCTGGATCCAAGGGGTCATCCAAGTCCTCCGGAGCCAAGCCTTGGGATTGCCGGGATATTTGTCGAGCCACCAAAGCATCAGCTTCCCGCCATGCTTGTTTGAGCATGGCAAGCTGACTGCGGTCGTCCTTTTTGGCCGGGATCTTGGCCAATATGGTGGCTTCGATGTCCTGCCTGGAATCCACCCAGTTTGCAAAAGCACGAATGCTGTAGCAACCAACGCTAGCGGAGCCCAGATAGTCAATAATCTCCTGCGCCACGCTGCGCTGGCGCAGAAAGGCTTGGAACTGAGCATCAACGGGCATGAGGATTGCAACGCGAGCTTATGCGGTTCAGGCTTGGACAGTACACTGCGGCACAGCTCACATCACAATGACGAAAGAGATCTGCGTTGGCTTGCGTAGTACCTACGATCGATGGTACACTGAGCACTTAAGCATGGTACAATTACTGGTCACATTGACCGCAACTGTATGTGCAAGGCATAATGCCTTGCGAGGCCGCGTCGCAATGACAAGCGGCGGCTAAGAAAGCCGCATCACAATGAAGATCGGCGCGCATGCAAAGAGGCCACAACTGCTTGTGTCGGAACTGGACTCTGTGGCATAAGAGCACCTTCATGAATGCACCCGCCCATGCAGCTCACGATTTTTGCTGGAAGCCGATCCCAATGAGACTCCGGGAGTTACACCTGGACCTCGCCGAAACGTTTCCATGCTTCGCGAGCCGGCTCCGGCAACCTTCTGAAGCATGTGGGCGACCAACTGCGTCCAGTAGCTAAAGCTGCCTCCAGACCGACACCATCTTCGGGTCGGCTAAATTTCTTTCCGCACTGGCCCATGTTGCAAGAGTGCTCCGATTTCAGATGAAGTTTGCAACGAGTGCCGGAGGTCGGCAGCAGCCATGCGACCGAGGCTTCAATGCTGGGGGCCGACTCTGCAGAAGAAGAGCTGGCTGGGTCCTCGGGCCGAGCAGCCACAATACGTTGTTGGCTTTTGACAACATGTCGCTGCGCGAAGGAGCGTTTAGGCCAGAGTGGCAGTAAGTCATCCCAAGTTGGTGCGTCATCTCCATACCGGGTCCGCCAAGCATTGAGGGCCAGCCGTGCAGCAACGACTAGCTCCGATTTCAGCTGCCGAGCCACCAACAACTTCTTGTCGCTATAACGGAGTGGCATGGCCAGGCGCCAGGATATGGCCTGCATGGACGGGCGTTTGTTATCCACCCATGCTCCAACTGCTAGCAGCTCACGGGGCTTGAAACTGGACATATCAGCCAGTGTTGGCAAAACACGCCGGCTCATGTAGCTCAGGGCAGTGCTTCGACCTCTGTGTTGACAGTCAAAGCCAAGCATGTGAAACAATGCGCGAGACATGCGAACGAACTTCCAAAGAGGCATGGCTGTGGCGTCCAATCCCCGTACCTTGTCGAGGGCTACTCGAGAAGGGGAAAAGTCAGGCAGAAAGAATGTCAACTGTGTCAGATCGCCAAAGACTTTCAAGACAATGCTGGACCAGACTTGGTAAAGATCGATGCCGGTGATGCCGTGACGCGGCATGCTCCACCGGAACGGAGCTTGAACACCACTGACTCTAGCTTTGCCACGATTGCAGAAGAACTCCAACCCCGTTTCAAAGCAATGCGTCAAAGAAGATCGCTGTATGTGCGCAAAGCGAACACATCCCACCAGGAGAAAGATCCATGTGGCACACAACATCTTGACAGCATCCCCAGAGGAGGTATCTGCTAAGATTTGTTCCAGCTTCACCCACATGCTGATTGTCATAGGCGTGGCCGGCATCTCTTCGTGGCCAGGTTCGACAACACCATGCCTGGCCACCTCATTCAACTCCGCATGGAAAACAGCGCCCAAATGCAATTGCAACCACCTGAGGACCGTCAAAGCCCCACGTGGGGATGTCGGTCCTCTACGTCGCAATGAACGCAACCAAAGACCGACCTCAAGCGGTGTGGGTTTCCAAGGCAGCACGCCTGATTGCAAGCACCACGTCGTCCATCGGTTTGCTGTGCTAACTGCCCGCGACAAAGCTGAAATCGGCAACTGCTTCCAAGAGTCAAGCTTACTTTCTCGAAATGCCAGTCGCAGTGTTTCAGAGAGCCCTTGATATTGTGCCCAGAACGAGCCAGCAACTCCGATCTCAATGAAAAGACTCCACAACTTTTCAGCGAGACGACTCAAACGCTGGACGTTTTGACTGACAGCGGCCTGTGATGTTGCGGTGCAGCAGCGACGACGACTGAACTTAGCACCTGGAAGAGCGCGTGATGTCATGGACAAGTGCCGAGGCGCGTGCGGTAAGTATGTTGGTGAGCAAGCCGAACTGCGTGCAACGGGATGTTCATCAAAGCGTTGTGCGGTCAACTGTGCAGCATGATCAGCCCACACATTGGCTAAAGACCACATTTCACACAGCTGCATCACCAGACTTTGAGCTGGTTGATCCCATGTCTGAGATGCTGCCTTTCGAACGTCCTCCTGCGAGTCAAAGTAATTAGCGAACTCGATGGGAGATTGCAAATTCCAGGTCTGGAAGAAATGCCGCCCTGCTTCAGTAGCAGAGCAATGGGCAAGAAGTGGGTCCATTGCCGAGTCTAAAATGTTTGGCTCAAGCCGATGGCTGCATTTTAGAATACATGATGCATCTAATGTTTGCACTGCCCAAGCCACTAACCTACCACAATGCAATGCATGTGTCGTCGCACTTGCACTTGTGCACGAGCTTGTCTGTGTGCGTGTCTCTCTGTCTGTCTGTCCGTCTGTCAGTGTCTGTCAGTGTCTGTCAGTGTCTGTCAGTGTCTGTCTGTGTCTGTCTGTGTCTGCGTGTGTCTGTCTGTGTCTGTCTGTGTCTGTCTGTGCCTGTCCGTGTCTGTCTGTGTGTCTGTCTGTGTGTCTGTCTGCCTGCCCGCCCGCCCGCCCGTCTGTCTCCTCTGTGCGTGCGCGCGCAAGGGCATGTTTTCGCGTGTCTCTGTCTGTCTACCTCCCTCTGTGTGTGTATGCATGTTTGTTTGTGTGTGTGTATGCCCCTCTGCATCAGGTCTGCAGTACAACCAACCGCGAAACAATGGCGCAGGACAGGTTAACGCTCGGCAAGTGAGCCTCCCGTTCTGTCACGGAGATAGTTGCCTAGGACCTCGGCAGAATGACAAAATTCACAGCCCGTACCGAAAGCCTCCACACCTACAGTTTGCAACGTACTTGAACAGCACGGCCTATACATACTCTGCCGCTGGGGAATGCTGCATTCTTCGTGCAAAGTCCAACACACATGTGGTTGGGCTGCGAAGGTCAACCATTGAATTCCGAGGCACCTCGTCGAGCGGAGCCAGCATTTTCCCCTTGCAGTGCATGCAAGGGCTTCGACCAAGCATATATATGAGCAAGATCAACCCTGACTCCGTGTGGAACCTGTTGGTTGGCCACTGAAAATCTTCCGTCTTCCGTCTCGGCAACGCACGTATGCTGTCTTGCAAAAACCGGCGTTTGATAGCCAAGAACAATAACATGCAACAACAAAGTCCATCTCCTGATGGGAAACCTCCCATCCAGTTGTACTCTATACATGCAACTCAGCCAGATCCATGGGCGGTACAAGCAAAGGCATCACAGGCGCAGGCACTTTCAGATCTTTACGAGCAGCCCAAGGATGCATGGGGTTGAGAAGACTGAAAAGGGAGCTTCCTTTGTGCCTGGGGCCCAGAAAACCGTGCGAACGAAAGTGAGTCTACCATTAGAACCTATGTAGCTGCAAGAGTCTGCTGAACTTCCTGTGGTTTGGTGCTCCGGTTCTGCATGTGATAAAAGCCTCAAATCTCTGAACGCGTGCCGCCAGTTTCCAGAAGACGCGACTCTAAACCAAAAAACTTTAAAACAAACCTACAGGCCCTACAGTGCCTCAGCTGCAAACTACCCGAGCAACCCTTCAATTGTCTCCTTGGTGACTCCGGGCTGAACCACGGGAGGCTTCATAGCAGTCCTGGCGCTGGGCTTGTGTGTTCGTATAGATCTGTGCAGGCATTTATAGGCATGAACCTCTGACCTCTGAACCTGGCTACAAGGCTCAAGGATCACGATGATCTGGGCTATTGTGAATGTTGAGGAACATGAGCTTTCTGAATTTTAGAGATCAGTTTTGGGCGCACCAGTGGATGAAGAGATCTCCCCAAGTCTGAGGCTCAGGATAGCACATGTTGTTTCCATGCTTGTTTCCCCCCCACACATACACACACACCCTTTTTGAACGAGGTCTCTCTGATGTGCCTCCCGATGAGCCACATCTACAAACATGTCAACCTCTCCTGCTCTTCAGGTGAGGGCTTCCCATAAACCCTAAACCCTATACTGCGAGCATCGACGCCCTATAGACCCTAAACCCATATACCCTGAGCCTAAACCCTATACCCTAAACCTTAGGATTCTTTGAGCCTGTAGATGTGAACAAGCTGACTCTTGTGGCAGGGCAAGAGGCAAAGCCCCAGTGCGCAAGACCGACAAGGAGGGGGACCTCCTGGCCTGATGCTTAGCCGAGGTTGAAGCTGGTTAAATGAACACAAAGTCGACTCCACTCCGGCCCCAAGGCTCCATACAATCTACGAATTGTACCCTCGATCCCCGTAACAGTAGCACTCATAATGGCACCCCTTATGTCCCCAAGCCGGTGCCAAGGCGGGTCATGGCAGAGCCCGCGGAGTCGTCAGGGTGCCGAAAGGGAAACGTCTCCGGTGGCCCAACCTGAGTTCAGGGCTCTGTCAGGGCTGCTAGAGTTTAAAAGCCTCTTTAAGCTTCTAATTCTAGGGTGCTATTGTCTTTAGAATACGAGATGGACCACTTCGAAAACCCTGAACCCTAGCAGTGATTGCGGGTAGCGGGGTACGAAAACGAGTGTTCCCTTGTATCCCGGAAGCAAACGGGGGAAACATATGTCGGCTGATCCCGAAACGTGCCAGCACTTTGGGGAAAGCACTTTCGTGCTGTTCTACGAGCCGCCAGTACTTGGGGGAAAGCGATTGCGCCATGCCCTCGAATGTATCTGAATCCATCTCCTGGTGGTCCGGGTGGTCTCCTGGTGATCTCTTCGTGGTCTCCAACTTCCTGCTGTCGTGGTGGCCACGTGCTGGTCTCTTGTCCTGCTGCCCATCGGTGGGTGGTAAATGCTGGAAAGTCACAGATGACAACCAGTTATGATCAATGCTTGCGCAAGCAATTCAGGCCCGTTCGCATGTGACAGTGGTCGCGACTTTCCTATGCCGTTAGTTTTCCATCTGAGAGTGTGGGGGCTGTAAGAGG